GCAAATCGTATGCCGTACTGACAACTGCGACGTCCGCCAAGTATCGCAGGCCGACGAGCCGCATGCGACGGCTGCGGCGTGACCTAATGTCGACGGACGGGCGGAACGAAAAGCACTCGTACTGAGTGAAATAACATTTAATAGATTCCGAGCAATGATAGGAACCAATAGTCAGGACCACCCTTAGTCTCTAACACCAGGCACTAGAGCACCGAGAAGGTGGGGTGGACGACTTTGCGGAAATTGTTGAATTTGCCAACAGTGAGGGACGCATACCGGTGTCACATAGTATGGCGGGCTAGAAAATCACCATGCTCACGTAATTACGATGACACAATATATCACTGATAAACTAATAAATAAAGATCAAAATAAATTAATAACACAGCGAAATAAACAAAAAAAAAACACAGTAACGGCCAGGAGCAGTGGTGACGGAATCGAAGGGCACGAGAATATGACTGGACTTTTTGGGCAACCCTTTACTTCCCTTATTTTCCAAAAACACAGAAGGCGGAGACCGAATCGATTCCTTAATCGATACATATCTAATCGCCCTTGCCATTTTTGCGTTTTCGCCGACCATAAGCAACGCCTGACCGCTTCTAGGACATTTAGTGCAATAAAAACTTTACATACAGCCCAGTTTCCTTTTCTGTCGTCAGGGGAACCCCCTTTTTTGGGTGCGTGCTGTTTGGTCGCATTCATTCAGAAGTGCTCAAAGGTTTAGCCTGTCGTTTGATCCGATGATTGGAACGGTAGGGACGGCCACAGTACTATAATGGCTAACCAGTAGGGGATCAAAGTTATTTTCCATAGACAAAGTATTTATATGCTGAAGCCATCATCCCTGTCATCCTTTCACGTTCTTTTCCCATTCTCTAGAAATTACGGTATGCAGACAATGCTCTCGAAGTATAAACGGAGCATCCAATCACCTTGCTAGCTTGGTTGCTGAATCAATTATTATCTATTTACTTGTTTATTTGTCGATGGGTTAACCCAATTTCCTGGTTATCTGTGTTTATTTATTCATTTATTTATTCATTAATGAGACTGCCTGAGAGCAACTCTAACGATAGAGTAGAGGGAAGCAACAAGTTCATAAATAACTCGAATATAAATTTAACAGTATGAAGACCAGTCAGCAAGAGATAGGTTGAGGAGGTGGGAGCTATAGTACTGAAACCAGCAACATGTGCTAAAATAAAGTCATGGATAAAGTCTTTTCAAGTTAATCGATTCCATATGAGGGATGCGCCTCGCGTTTGACACCCAAACAGGATCGTAGTAGCGCTTTGTATGTGCATGTGGCCTATACAGTGAATTGCGGTGATCAGGAGATGTACAAGTAGTGCTTCTACCTTCCCATACGAATTTTGTGCCAGTACTGAACTCGAAGGTATGAAAGGCTTGATCGATCTAAGCTGCTATCGATATGAGAGAGATTCGAACCCGTGACCATGTGGGTGTACACATCCTTTCAAGCTCCTGTAGGAGAGGAAAAGCAGGTTGTTAGTTGGATTTTTTATAAAATGGGATAAAACGTTCATGAAACGGCCTCATTCTGCTCGACAAGTGTGTTTTTCTATTCCAGACTGACAGCTACTATAGTAATATCAGTGGTGGCAGTGATTATAATTTCATGTACAATTATGACATGTTACATCGATTTTAATAGGATGAAGCAAGGAATAGGTAAGTTATTGGAACCAGGTCCATCAGTATTTCAAAGTCAGAGAGGTTTTCACAGTAATGGAAGCAGGTAAGAGCGGGTTAGTGCAGTAGCTGGTAAGTACAACGGCTGTTTCAACATCCATAAGTTTTGCAACGTGGGGGAGAGAATCGGTCGTCTTGAAACCAAGCACTCTGGCGCAGGAAGGAGAAGTGTCCGACTCCTCGGGTCTGTAATAAACGACTGCGGTGGGCATCCCTAAAACGCTCAGGCGATTGATGTCGGCCGAGCGTTTTAGGCGTGCGTTGTTTTAGGTAAAAAGTTTGTCCCTGACCAAGTAGGAATTCTCTGGTAACATTCAACTGTTCTAGGTCTACTTGCCCCTGGGGCTGGATCATCTAGTAAAGCCATGGATTATCAGTTGCTGTTTAGGTAATTTGGAGGTATGCGATGAACCTTTGGAAGAGCAACCTATCAGCACCAAATCTACTGTCCAACCAGAGGTAAAATACCTGTGATTTTATGGGTTAAGAAGGCGTAGGCTCCGGATATGTCAGAATCGTTGTCCTCAGAGAAGTTGGTGAGGGAAGCTGATGGCAAAAATGAAAAGGATTAAGGTACAAAACCAGAGCATGACTTATTAATTCGTTTGCGTCGAGGGTGAAAATGTAATTGGGGAAGGGAGTATCCTGTGTCGCTAACACTAGGGGCTAAGAGCAAAGAAGGAGAGGCAGAGAGCCGATAATGGTGCTTCCATGAGAGGAAAGGAGTGTCAGGGTGGGTGATCCAGCTGATTATTGCTTTTTGCTCAAAGTGATCATCTCACCTACTGCTGTGCTCCTCCTCCTTCCTCTGGGAGTATGGTTCTCACACTTTCGAAATAACTCGAATTTGAACCAATATTTTCAGGAGTCTTCTAGAGACAGTGGACGAGCTGTGAAACCATCTGAACTTGTTACTGATGTGATTCAAATCTCCAAAATTGGAAAAGTAGCTCCCACCAGGATAGATGCCGAGGAGAAACAGGCTAGAATCATCGAGGGTAACTTTTTCTTTTCATGATTCCTTAGTTGGTTTTGGGCCAAGTAGGCCTGGGTTAGGTTGGCACTAGAGGCTTCCTCTATAGAATTCAAGCTGATGAAGAACATTCACCTTAGCTGGATTACGTTTTGAGATTGATTGTAGTGTAGCTTCGAACAGAACAATACATTTGACCAATTTGTATTACTTACTTACATATTTACAGCAATCTATCAGGCATCAGGAAGGGAGGTGCCACTCATGTACAGGTCAAAGGTAAGTGTACTATCCTTCGTGCATTTTATCCTAGGGTTGCCGGTAGAGGATAAAGAGTAAAGCCCCCTGGGGTCGTTCATTTAGTGCCAGACTCGTCTGGGGGGATGAAAGAACTGACTTGAACATCGGCTCGCCACAACAAATCATTGTATAGGCCACCCAAAAATTCAGTACGCCACTACGATTCTGAATGAAAGTCCAATGCCTGGGCACACCCCTCAGACGAGATTAATCAACGCCCAAAGACTTTATCCTCTTACGCTTGTGTAATAGTGACCTCTGGAACATCACTTTCCTTTCTTCAGACACGGTCAAGGGAGGCAATTCCTTTGCCACGTGAGTTATTTGTAAGAGTTTTACATTACCTTATGATGCTCTCAACTGAAGCTATAAAGCCCCTTCGAACTTTATCCCTAACTAGCTTTGTTGCTACAGCAATAGAAATCCACGAGACCGTGGAGGGAATCGCCGAGAAAGAAGTACCCGAGCCTGGTGAGTTCTAATTTTGCCTACTACTTGAACCTTTTGCTACTGGACACAAAATGTGTCAGTAGGTCTGTTTTCGTGGTATGAAACGGTCTATGATGATATGATGATTTCAGGCTCTCCCATCAGTTTAATCAACCCTTACGAACCTCGAAGAACGGTAAACATTGGAAACCATTCTTAGTTATTCTTTGCACGTGTGCCATTAGGTCAGGACTCAAGTCTAGTGAAAGCTATTGACGGCAAAAACGACATGTCTCACAAAGGACAATTCTTTCGGCACTTTCTTTCGCGCCAAGACGCCATCAGCCGATAGAACAGCTCTAACTCTCTGTGAGGAACGAGAACCTAGGCCTATATCGACAGCTGGGGTGCTTGGGCATAATTGAAGCTTCTTTTGATTTGCTAGCACTGGCTCTCTTGCTTGGCCAATATGATTACCTTACAATTAAATAAATGTGAAAATGTGTAAATGTGCCTGGGAGCGAAAGGGCCCTCGATACCCCATCACCAGGTGATGGTAATGGACTAGCGCATCAACATGATTCGTCTGAGTTAAGAGGCGAATGGATTCTCTAGTCATCTCTTTACCCTCCTTATCCTATTTTTCTTTATCTTATTGTACTAATCTAATCTAACACTAATATAATAGTAAATACGAAATATTAGAACTTCCTTTCTTACAGAGCAGTTATCCCTTACCAGTTAGTCATATCGATGGTGTTGTATTGAGGAAACATATACTATCCAACCAGCAGCATATCATTAAGCAACATTGCTATAAGATAGTCTTCATTACTAGTATGAATGAAACAGTTACCATTCCACTTATAGCCCTGCAGAGCTTCCAATAGCCAGATCTCTCAACAGAACAAATCCCTTTCAGTCTGCTCCTCGGGAAAGTCTCATACCCAAAGGTCCTCCTGTGGAGAAGGCTCAAAAAGAAGAGAAACCGTCGGCTGTGAAATCGTCGCGAACAACGATGGAAACTGCGAAAACAGGTGAGAGAACTTGTAGCTGATTGATTCTCAGCTGAAGTACATACAGGGATGCATTTTCAAAAGAAAGTGATATCGGATTGCTCATTCAAACGTCTCAAAGATTCAAGGAAGAATTTGAAAACGCGGCGCTTTCCAAAATTGTTTTTCACCTCTAAACTGTCGTTTGAAATCATTTTCAATCCCTAAATTATATGTATGTAGCAGTGTTATTATGCGGCCTTTAAGCACCCGAGCAACTCATTCTGAAACAACCAGTTGAACCAAAAAGTACAACGACCTTACTAGTTTCTTGAAGTGTCAATACCCAACAATGACGAGTTTCGAAGAGATACATCCTATTTAAAAGTCGAATATTCAGCAGCGAAATCAGAAAAGCTTCGAACCGACACCACCGGCGTTTCCACCAGATCAGAACGTTCGAAAACAACGCCATTTCTCAAACAGAACAAAGACAGCAAAAGCAAAAAATAGTTTATTTGAAAATTGTAACAGAAATAAAATTTCCCTATCTCGTTTTCTTAATAAAAATTGTTTCAATTGCATGTATTCTATTACAATCATTATGAAGAGCTCAAACACATGACGCAAGTCAAGACAACTAGCTAGGAATCGCTGCTCGCTGTAGGCGGGGCGAGCATAACGACACACACACACACGACCAAAAGAGTCCTATTTGTGTCTTGTTTAGATGAATCACTTTTTCTCAACATTCGACCTCACCAGTGAGCAGGGGCAATGGCATATTCGGACCTTATCCTTGACCATCGAGCAAGATGAATCCAGCCTAAATGAACTTTGAAATTACTGGACCAGGAAACATCTCCTGGGCAACGAGAGTGACCGTCCATGGTGATGGACCTCAAGAATGGCAATCATCAATGCAAGGTTAAGATACAGAACATGGGGAGACGGGCAGTAGGAACGGTTTTGTATAATAGATCCGCCGCAAGCGGCTGTCGCGGACCATTTGTCTCATTATAATAGTTGTAGCATTCTTCATACAGCTCAATCGCTATGTGTTTATTACTAAGGCATAATTCTACAGCTAGTTCTTTTGTTCCCGTATTTCTTACTTGCTGCTGCATTTCTTCTTTCGCGTGC